CTTAAAGTTGGCGATGACGCCTTCCAGATAGTAGTGCCACTCGAGGGAGCGAAGGTAGATCTGGTGCCAGCGCTTCTCGAGGGAGCGAGCTTTCCTGGGGATGTCCTTTCCGCTGCGGCGTCCTGATGTTGCTCTGGAGGTGGAGGCGGAAGTGGAGGTGGAGGAAGAGGTGGATGGAAGGTCCTTGGTGGCTGTGGAAGGGTCGCTATCTGTTGCTGCTGGTTGTGGTGGCGGTGCGGCTGCGGCTGCGGCAATGCGTTCGTACTGCCGCAGGACGCTCTTCAACACTGGACCGTGTGCCTCGATGTCCTTCAGCAGGATCTGGGAAAGAGAAGAAAGCACATCATTAATCTCCCACAATGGACACATAATCATACACACCGCCAAACATAAACGGCATCGCACACGCGGCGCCCCCAGACGCACAACGTTTATCCCATAAAAGCCGTCCGCACCCACACCCACTTAAAAGAAATAAAACATTAACTCCTCCTTCACGCTTCGACCGGATGAGACAAGCACCGGTATGTACCCGCTTACCCGAAAGTGGCCACTTCTGGCGTCGCTTCCTGTTCCGCCACTGGGTCCGCTGGTAGGCTTACCGCATACGGGACACACGGGACAAAGGACGTCAACGATTGGAAAACGAGGAAGAGGAGAAAGGAGGGGGAGCAGAGAGTGCACATCAATTCAAGACCAAAATAAATATAATAAAATATAAGTGGCTTAAGGAAAATTTAAGGCAAAACTAGTAGTCCAGGCCGACCGTCACGGAGCTTAGCGTCACGTGGAGGGCCGATACGCGAAACGCCGCTGGCATAGTGCGGGCTCTCACACCTGGCCTCTGTCATTACCCACTCTCACCTGTCCTGACACACTTTCCACGCCCCTTTGCCCTTCCACCCACGCCTCCCCATAATACTAACCGCACACAGGAAACAGAGAAGCTAACAATGTTAACCAGTACTTCCTACAGATTTACCGGCCAATAAGTAAGGCTGCAGGAACTAAAGAGGGTGAATAACGGGTCATTAACAGCCCTAATAGCTGCGACAGAAATTCTCAGACTAGCCTCTTTAGCAATGAAATAACAATGAAAAAGTGGAAAATATATTACAACGAATGCTGTACCAACCTCTTCTTTTCATGGCGTAAAAATCCCTCAAGAATTCAAATGTGGTTGGAATGTTGTTATCTAATGCCACTAGGCATTATAATCTGCTTGTTTTTTCTTTTCCCCAATCTAATCGCCTAATCCTCTCACTCCACCTTTCTGTTCGGCCTCCAAGGACAGTATGACGGGTCGTTTCACGCTGCTTCACGCTTAACCTGACCTGACTGAGATTCGCGCTCGGGCAGACACGGCACGCGAAAGCACTCCATGAAGCTCTTGCTGTCATGCATTCGTGCGTGTCTGTATGTAAGTGCCGTGGATTAGGTGTCCGCCTACACCCCTCCCTTTCTCCCTTCCCCCCCTACCCTATCGCCACCCCCTCCCCTTACCCCTACTTTCCGACGTAAACTTGGGTGATTTTGTGCTTCAATCTTGCGTGCTTGAGGATCACACTTTTTGACACGTACTTCCTTTCAGATTTCAGATTTTTTTGCTTACTTTACAGGATGCAGTTATTAAAGAAAGCAATTTATAACCAAGGAAAACTATATACGACTAGATTTATTGCATTTTAAGCATTTCCTCCATCTTTTAACTGCTATCTCCGCTACACTGTAGCGTCACTACCAACAAGGCCATCAAAATGCACCACGAAGCAGCACGACCCGAGCCCAGCAGGACAAAGAAAAGCGAAAGAACAGCGACCGGAAGCGAACGAAGCTCACCATGCGTTAAGCGTCCTGTGAATGAACGCTTTCTTCCTTTCTTCCTTCCGCCTTTCTTTGCTTGCTTCCTTTCTCGTTCTTTTCTACGAAGGACTAGTGAAGTGCGTGTTTGTGCTTCAATTTTTTTTTTTTTTTTTTTTTTTTTTTTTTTTTTTTTACTTTCTCCACTCCTTTTTTTTTTTACTGAGAGAGAGAAAGAGGATGCTAAAGCAAAGAAATGAATCTAAACCAACTCTCCCAGCCACGCGAAGGAATCCGAACCAGACCCGACGGCCACGAGGAAGTCAAAAGGTAACGCTAACGAGGTGTCACGTGACGCGTCGGAGACAGGCACAACGAAGCGACGCAAGGCTCTCGTAACAGGTGGTCCCCTGCGCCCTGCGAGTGCACGCGAACGCCGGCTGGTCCGTCGGGATCTCTCCAGAAAGAGGACGGGGCAGCGGGCGCGCGGGGAGGCGTCGTGGGAGTGTCTGGCCAAGCTTGACAGCCCCGCCTTGCCCCCTCTTTGCTGAACAATCACGCACGCCCACTTTCCTGTTCACATTCTTGAGTATATCTGGAGGACGAGGGGAAAATAACCTTTCTTGAAGGCCATACTCCTGAACGACTCGGATTAGGTCATTCAAATAACATAACATCAATGTCAGCTTTACCTACCACCTCTATCTTTACTTAAATCCTATTCTTCTTATTCGCCCAACCTCGTCATCATATCACAAAATTCCGCAACCACCCTCATCCACCTCGTCTTGCACGCCAATCCGCCGCCGGTCCGACCGCCAGTCAGTCAGTCGGCGTCCCGCTCACCAGAAGCACCGGAAGGGGACTTTGCACCGACGACACACACTTCCGTCCGCCCGCCGTTTCATGTGACGCGGGCGTGTGTGTTTGGGCGTGCATGGGCGGGTCTCGCTCCGTTCCGCTCACCCGCTCACATGCCACAAAAAGCTGGATCCGAACCTAACGTGTTTTCTGCCTTTTGCCGAGAAACGAATAATAAATGTCTACGCGGGATGATTCTGCTCGTCCGCTTATCAAGATAATCAGTTCCACCCTTAATCAGCAAACTTTTTTTCCTTTCTTTTCAAAAGTAAAATTACCCAGTTTATGCACACATCTCCGGCACCTCGTGCTGGCATGGATGAAAGGATGAATAAAACACCTGCCCTTGCCGCCCCCCCCCCCCTCACGCCCTACCCAACCGTGGTCGCGCAGGTGTGTTAACAATGATTAATCATACTAATGATTCAAGGCTTTTGTCCACTCTGAGGTGAAACCGTCATCACCAGCTGCTTGCAATTCGCACATTCAACAAATACTATTTGTTACTTTAATGTTATATTAAACAATATATTCCAAACAATGTCGAAAACGCAAACTCCATCAGCTGTTTTAACATTCTAAAAAATCGACATAAAAATCTATTATCCACCCTATCCACCTCGTCTTGCACGCCAATCCGCCGCCGGTCCGACCGCCAGTCAGTCAGTCGGCGTCCCGCTCACCAGAAGCACCGGAAGGGGACTTTGCACCGACGACACACACTTCCGTCCGCCCGCCGTTTCATGTGACGCGGGCGTGTGTGTTTGGGCGTGCATGGGCGGGTCTCGCTCCGTTCCGCTCACATCTCCGGTACGCCAGTTTATGCACACAACTCCGGTACACAATCTAAAGTGTAACAATGGCCGTTCATTCACCTCGTGCTGGCATGGATGAAAGGATGAATAAAACACCTGCCCTTGCCGCCCCTCCCCCCTCACGCCCTACCCAACCGTGGTCGCGCAGGTGTGTTAACAATGATTAATCATACTAATGATTCAAGGCTTTTGTCCACTCTGAGGTGAAACCGTCATCACCAGCTGCTTGCAATTCGCACATTCAACAAATACTATTTGTTACTTTAATGTTATATTAAACAATATATTCCAAACAATGTCGAAAACGCAAACTCCATCAGCTGTTTTAACATTCTAAAAAATCGACATAAAAATCTATTATCCACCCTATCCACCCTTCACTCTCGACCCATGCCCCGACCTCACGAAAACGATCGCCATTCCATCAAGCCGCCCCCGCTCCATCCTCATCCACATTTCATCATTCGCATCCCCTATTTCACCACGCTTAACCACCCCTTACCCAGCCCCACCTCATTACCCCCAACCTCCCCAACCCTTCCTCACCCCAGCACGCCATCACATTTCACAGTCCCCACTCATCTTCCACTCAATCGCTCCCTCGTTATAATGCGGCCTTAAAATTCGTAATCACATGCATCTGGCAAGTCGCGGTTTACTACGGGGTGATTTCCTGCATTCAACAACTCCTCTTCTTCTTCCCTTTTCTTCTGGCGTGACCTTTTTGCGCGAAGATTTCTTTCCGATGCCAGTCGTCTTTCTTTCTTTCTCTCTCTCTTTCTCTTTCTAGTTGTAACCTCTGTGTGTTTTTCTTCCTTATCCTGACATCGCTTGTATTAACAATCCCAAAGGTATGCGACCACCTCAAGAAATATTCACGAACCTGCTTGTTCCTCCTTTGTTAATCTATTGTTTCTCTTTTCCTTCTTGTTACATTTTTTTTCCAATCCACCCATTAAATCCCGCAGGAATGTGACGACTCCCCCGGACTATGCGCCGAGCCTCGAAGAGCATGTGACCTGGCCGGGGCACCGCAAATAAGGGGTGCTGCTCCCGCTCCTCCTCCTCCGTCGACAACGACCCACGAGACAAGATCATTTGCATCTCATATTCTCTCTCTCTCTCTCTCTCTCTCTCTCTCTCTCTCTCTCTCTCTCTCTCTCTCTCTCTCTCTCTCTCTCTCTCTCTCTCTGACACGCGGAAACAGGAGAGTGCTCTGCTGGTTTACACAACGGACAGTTCTTGTCTTTTTTTCCATCCGATAGATGAATGAATGAATGAATGGAGGGAGGGAGAGAGGGAGAGGGAGAGGGAGGGAAGGAGGGAGAGAGAGAGAGAGAGAGAGAGAGAGAGAGAGAGAGAGAGAGCGGGGGGATGACAGAGAGAGAGAAGGAAAGATGGCATGAATAACAGATATGATGTAGAATAACGGACAATGAAACAGACAAACAGAAAGGCCTAGGGAAAGAGATATGAATTACTAAGAGACCAAATCCCCCCCCCCTCCACCCCACTCCTCCCGCACGTACACCAAGGCGGTCGGTCCCATCTGTCGCGCACGGGTGTAACATCTCTCTCGGAGCGGCTGTCACTCACACAAGGCCGTGAGGTCGGAGGTGGGACGCCTCAAGCCCGCCGCCTCCCGCAGACGCCCGTCACGCCACCCACTGCCAACCCTTGTCCTTGGCCTCCTATCCATCAATGTTCTCCCTCCACGTTTCAATAAATTCGCAGTATCTTCCCTCGTTCGGCAATCTGCGTACGGGCGAGCGCCTCGAAATCGGCTTAGCGACCTCCGTTCACTAATGCGCGTTCGAAAAGCTGCAATTATGCTAATGAAGGGCC